AGTGGCAGGAATAGCGCGCCATCATTGGTGTCAGTGGGAGGAATTGCGCGCCATCATTGGTGTCAGTGGGAGGAATTGCGCGCCATCATTGGTGTCAGTGGGGAGAATAGTCCCCCATCATTGGTATCAGTGGGGAGAATAGTGCCCCATCATTGGTGTCAGTGGGGAGAATAGTGCCCCATCATTGGTGTCAGTGGGGAGGAGGAATAGTGCCCCATCATTGGTATCAGTGGGGAGGAGGAATAGTGCCCCATCGTTGGTGTCATTGTTGGTGTCAGTGGGGAGGAGGAATAGTGCCTCATCATTGGTATCAGTGTGGAGGAGGAATAGTGCCCCATCGTGGTTGGTATCAGTGGGGAGAACAGTGCCTCATCGTTGGTGTCAGTGGAGGAGGAACAGTGCCCCATCGTTAGTGTCAGTGGGGGAGAGGAGCGGCTGCTCCTTCTTCCAGTTCGGCCGCTCGATTTTCGCGGGGCCGCTCGGCTCCGCCTCCTCGCCGGTGATTGGTCGCCTGTGTGCCTTTACAGTGCTGGCGCCCAATCACCGATGAGGAGGCAGAGCCGAGAGGCCGCGTGACCATCGAGCGGCCGAACTGAATGAAGGAGCAGCCGCGCTTCCTGGACCGGATCGTCGTGGGACCGGAGCCAGGTAAGGTACAGCAGCCCCTCTGCCCACCCCTGTACTTAGTGTCCGTTGGAGGAGGAGGGGGGGCGGCGCCGCGCCGCCCCTCGAATAAGTGCCGCCCTGACTGCCGCTCGCACCGGCGTATAAGACGACCCCCGACTTTTCAGAAGATTTTCAGGGGTTGAAAAGTCGTCTTATACGCCGGAAAATACGGTACTTAGCAGCTTGTGAACTTCAGCACAGTAAGGCCTTATGCATACTGGATGTTTTTTTTTTTTTTTAACTCTCCCAGAAGCTTTCTTCCTGGCAGCAGCATTTTTGCAGAAAAAGGGGTGAGTTTTTTACACGCGTTTAGGTGCATTTACATGCATTTGGGCATTAATTTAATTGTTCAGAATAATACATTATTCTGGCCATTGAAATTACTGCTCAAGTTTACAAGTGTCAAGCTTTTTTTTTTTTCCCTGACAAATCGCTGTAGCTACTGGGCGCACTGGCAGTGGTTTTTTTTTTGGGGGGGGGGGGGGGGGGGGGTTTCTGCCTCTAAACTCTCCTGCCACTAAAAATTGCTAAAAGTCTGTGTACATGTACACACAGGCTAACATGGAAAGGCATTTGGAAGCAGGAAAAAAAAATGGCTGATGCCCCTCTAAGTGGCAATACAAACATACTGTGTGTGTGAGGTCTTAAAGCAGTAGTAAACTCTCAAAAAAAAAAAAAAGTTTTCGTATGCAAGGCAATTTCATAATGTGCTAGTATACACATCATTTGAAACTTGCCTTAAAACGAAGCCCTCAAGCGGCACACTGTCACCGCTGACAGGGCTTCCATCTTCACTCCATCCTTCCGAGTTCCCGTGCTCCGGCGGCTTGAATGGCCAAACTGCAATGATGTCACACCCATGCATGCGCGCGGGAGTCACTTTTTACGGCACGCAGCTCTGAAGGAACGGCACGGGCATGCGGTTTCTTCAGAGCGTATGTGTCTGTACTCTACACAGTTAAGTATCTTATACACTGTGAACGTTTAGGAGATGCATCCACTTTAAGTTTCTGTCAGCCTCTAGCTAATCTCTCTAACTAGGCCAAGACATACAAACAAGGCTGAAAATGTACATATTTTAATTGCAGAAAGTGACATATAGGGGCCAGTTCACTAAGAGATAAATTCCGCACGGATTTTTCAGTTAAAATAACTCATGCGGTAGTTATTTAAAGTAGTCAGCTCACTAAAAAATATTCATTATTTACCGAATGCGCTAAACATTTATGTTTAGATATTATATTTTGTGTGGGTTTTTTGGTGGTGTTTTTGCACAATTTTTTATTTTTTTTTTGTCTTGCAAACTAACATTGCACCACAATGCACATATCAATACTGTGAAACTATTAAAACATTTTAGTGTACTTTCATTCACATAATGATCTCCCTCTGATGAAATGTTAACATTTTTATTTTCATTCCTGTGTTCAGAGGAGAACATTTTTTTTTTTTCATCTTTCTTTTTTTTTAACATTATTTATATAAAACTTTTACAAGACGTACAGGAAACAATAATACATTTAGGTGGACGCCACTAGAAGAGACCACAAACCAGGTTCAGTCCAGATACATATGAAATCAATTGCAACATTTGCAACATCAAAGCAGCATTGTGTCATACACTGGGTCGAGTGTCATTACAGCTTGAACAGCCTGCAAAACTATCATGTGCTAATCATGTGTTAACAGCATCCAAGTCATAGAAAATAAAAAGAAGAAAAAGAGTAGAGAATCAGCAGAAGGCAAAGCATGAATGAAGAAGGGACTTCAAGCCGAGTGCAACAAGGAATCATATTCACTGGAACAGGTAAAGAGAGAACAATGGTCCCATCGCTGACGAAACTTATCCTCCTCCTGGCCGCAAACTGCCACCATAATATTTTCCATTGAGTGTATGTCCTCAACCTGAGACAGTCACATGGAGACAGGAGGAACCTCCTGCTTCCAGAGAGATGGTATACAAGCACGGGCAGCATTGATCAGATGCACCAATAATGAGTTTTTAAAACGTTTCCTAGAGAGGTCGGAATGGAGCAGTAAATACCTAGCAGGGTCATCCTCTAGATCAAACTCTGCCAAGTGTTTAATAAGATCTCTAACTTGTGACTAAAAAGCGGTCAATTTTCTACAGGACCAAAATACAGGTGAAACTCAAAAAATTAGAATATTGTGCAAAAATTCATTTATTTCAGTAATGCAACTTAAAAGGTGAAACTAATATATGAGATAGACTCATTACATGCAAAGCAAGATAGTTCAAGCCGTGATTTGTCATAATTGTGATGATTATGGCTTACAGCTCATGAAAACCCCAAATCCACAATCTCAGGAAATTAGAATATTGTGAAAAGGTGCAATATTCTAGGCTCAAAGTATCCCACTCTAATCAGCTAATTAAGCCAGAACACCTGCAAAGGGTTCTTGAGCCTTTAAATGGTCTCTCAGTCTGGTTCAGTAGGAATCACAATCATGGGAAAGACTGCTGACCTGACAGTTGTGCAGAAAACCATCATTGACACCCTCCATAAGGAGGGAAAGCCTCAAAAGGTAATTGCAAAAGAAGTTGGATGTTCCCAAAGTGCTGTATCAAAGCACATTAATAGAAAGTTATGTGGAAGGGAAAAGTGTGGAAGAAAAAGGTGCACAAGCAGCAGGGATGACCGCAGCCTGGAGAGGATTGTCAGGAAAAGGCCATTCAAAAGTGTTGGGGACTTTCACAAGGAGTGGACTGAGGCTGGAGTCAGTGCATCAAGAGCCACCACACACAGACGGATCCTGGACATGGGCTTATTCCTCTTGTCAAGCAGCTCCTGAAGAACAAACAACGTCAGAAGTGTCTTACCTGGGCTAAAGAAAAACAGACCTGGTCTGCTGCTCAGTGGTCCAAAGTCCTCTTTTCTGATGAGAGCAACTTTTGCATCTCATTTGGAAACCAAGGAAACAGAGTATGGAGGAAGAATGGAGAGGCACACACTGCAAGATGCTTGAGGTCCAGTGTGACGTTTCCACAGTCTGTGTTGATTTGGGGAGCCATGTCATCTGCTGGTGTTGGTCCACTGTGCTTCATTAAGTCCAGGGTCAACGCAGCCGTCTATCAGGAGATTTTAGAGCACTTCATGGTTCCTTCCGCAGACGAGCTTTATGGGGATGCTGACTTCATTTTCCAGCAGGACTTGGCACCTGCATACACTGCCAAAAGCACTAAAACCTGGTTCAATGACCATGGGATTACAGTGCTTGATTGGCCAGCAAACTCGCTTGACATGAACCCCATAATCTATGGGGCATTGCCAAGAGAAAGATGAGAGACATGAGACCGAACAATGCAGAAGAGCTGAAGGCCGCTATTGAAGCATTCTGGTCTTCCATAACACCTCAGCAGTGCCACAGGCTGATAGCTTCCATGCCACGACGCATTGAGGCAGTAATTGCTGCAAAAGGGGCCCAAAGCAAGTACTGAGTACATATGCATGCTTATACTTTTCAGAGGTCCGATATTGTTCTATGTACAATCCTTGTTTTATTGATTGCATGTAATATTCTAATTTTCTGAGATTGTGGATTTGGGGTTTTCATGAGCTGTAAACCATAATCATCACAATTATGACAAATCACGGCTTGAACTATCTTGCTTTGCAAGTAATGAGTCTATCTCATATATTAGTTTCACCTTTTAAGTTGCATTACTGAAATAAATGAACTTTTGCACGATATTCTAATTTTTTCGAGTTTCACCTGTATATGTAAGAACGAACCATCCCCCACCTTACAATGCCAGCAAACCTTTGTTGCCTCAGGATTAATCTTGTGTAAGATGATCGGGACCCGATGCCACCATGTGAGCGATTTGTATCCCAATTCCTGGTATTTGCTCGACAGAGAGGAGCAAGATATGGTTCCTCTGCTCGGTTGATAAAGTCCTACCCAGCTCTTCCTCCCACTTTAGAAGATACAGTGGCACAGACGAATCAGCCGGTTGGCTGAGAAAATTGTAGGCCAATGAGATTACATGGGAAGTAGGATCAGGGTTAACAGAGATCCTCAAAAGGTGTACTAGGACCCAGGTCCAACCCTCTGAGTCAGGGAGGACAGAAAATGAACCAGTTGCTGTAGGAGAACATTTTTACACTGATACATTGTATACTTTCACTTTCTGACCATGCAGATTTCCTCTAATTGTTATTTTGTACATTTATAAAAATACCACCAGCAAACACCAGGTGATAAATAAGGAATGTGTGTTTTTTTTTTTTAATAAATTTACTTTAATAATCATTCTCATATTTTTTTTGTAGTATTTATCTCACTAATTTAACAAATATGCAATATTTACCTCATTCCATATGTAATGAATTGCCTCTTTTATTATCTCATGCAATCAATTATGCAAATGAGTCACGTGACCGTCTTATCACATGCGGTAACCTGTAGTGACTTGACCTCATATAGTTTTTGAGAGTGAAGCCGGCCATAGACGGATTGAAATTCAGCTGCTTCAGCAAGAACTGGATGAATTTCAATCCATGTATGGGCAGGCAGGTTGTACTGAAGTTGATCGCTTGAACAACTTTAGTACAGCCAGCCAGTCTGCTTTTTTTTTTTTCGTTCAATCACTGCTGACGGCTACAGCAGCCGCAGTGATCATAGTATTCTGACGGCTGGGAAACCTCCCAAT